ATATTGTGTGATCTCATTCATATGAAATATCTAGAATAGGTAAATCAATAGAGGCAGAAAGCAAACTGGCGGTTGCCAGGGGCGGGGAGGGGAGGGGGTAATGGGGACCGACTGCTTAATGGGTACAAGATTTCCTTTTGATGAGAGTATCTTTAACAAGATAGAGGTGGTGACTGCACAACTTTAGGAACGCACTAGGTATCACTCTAGATTGTACGCTTTAAAATGGTTGCTTTTATGTTTTATAAACTTCACCTCAATAACAATTTTTTTTTAATTTTTTTTTAACGTTTATTTATTTATTTTTGAGACAGAGAGAGACAGAGCATGAACGGGGGAGGGTCAGCGAGAGGGAGACACAGAATCTGAAACAGGCTCCGGGCTCTGAGCTGTCAGCACAGGGGCCCGATGCGGGGCTCGAACTCACGGACCGCGAGATCGTGACCTGAGCCGAAGTCGGCGCTCAACCGACTGAGCCACCCAGGCGCCCCCTCAATAACAATTTTAAAAATGGTGCACCTTCAATCTGAAGAGATTTGGGGTAGGCAAGGTCACAGGACATGTTAGCAGTCACTTGAAGGGTGGCCGGGGGAGGGGGTGGAGAATAGTAGTCTTTCAGTTATTCTGTGCTCCCCAAAGGGCAGAACTAGAGTGAGTGGGGGAGCATTATAAGCCATCACAAAACCCTAGAGAGATTGAAACCAATGCTGGGGGACTATTTGCCCACCATGAGATGGCTGAAAGAAGGCTCACTGAGTGCCATTGAAAGCAGAAGCCCTAGGTCCATAAAAGGAAGTGCCCTTCCCTTGTGCCTACACCCCCATCACAGATGCCTGCAACCGACCCAGGCTGTGTTCACTGCAGTTTCCAACATGAGTTTATCGTGGGTAGAAGGAATGCACAGTCTCACACAACAACCAGTGACCCCACGACTGGGGGCCTAGATCTCCAATAACATCCTCCCCCACTCAGCTTCAACTACCCTCTTCCCTGGACACAGCCTCAACTTTGACATCACCCAAAACGGTGTCACCTCTACAATCACGTACTCCAGCATCCCACTCTTTAATCGTGGCCACCTATTCTTGTAAATCTGGTGCTCAAGTATCTCACTGCGACACTTCTTCATCCTACCTCACTGAACCTTCAGGCCATTAACTAGTTCCTCTATTTCTTCTTCTGTTCTTCATTCTGTTCCGTCCTGTTGCCAAACATATCCTGTCTCCCTAACAGGGTTTTAAACCTTGCCTTCTGAGACAACTCATTCCCTTTGAGAAAAGGGGTCCTGCTCCTTATCATGAGCCCAAATCTGTATTTGTTCATCCACCGATTGATTCATTCGTTCAAAACATATTTGCTGAGTATCTACCGCGTGTCAGAAATCTGCTACATTCTAGGAACACAGCAATGAACAAGGTAATGTGTTCCTACCCTTAAGGAACCTAGAATCTAGTAGAAAAGACAAGTATGAAACAATTACACAGATTATTTAATTGTAATTAAAGGAAGGCAGAAAAATATGGGCTGAGAGATCATCGAAGAGGTGAGCTACTCTAAGGAGCCAATTGTCACGAAGGGACATTTGAGCAGAGAACCTGAAACCTGAGTAGGACAGCAGGCAAAGAATGGAGTGTGTGGCTTGGGTGTGGGTGGGGGGGGGGTAGGTTGTCCTTGATGGGGGTAGGTAACTCCAGGTGAAACAACCCAGTGTGTTCAAAGGCACCAAAGTGGGCAGACACAGCTCTCCATCCTGGATGGAATGCAATGTCTAAAGAGGCATGGTGTAAAGTGAGGCTGGGAGACAGGAAAAGACTAGATTTTGTATGACTTGTGGGCTGTGTCAGTGACTTGGGTCCACAGTCCCTCCCAGCAGCCGATTCAGAGACTGGAGACCAACGAGTTCATGGGGATTTTATCATGTAATCCAGGGATGGTGACAAGGGTCTGTTCCGAGGCTGTCCGTGGGAATAGAACACGGCTGGTTACGGGTTATTAAAAGAAGTGTTGATAGGATTTGGTACCATTGGGAGATTAGGGAGAAGAACAAAATCTCCTGGATTATAGCCACAACTCTTTTGCAGGGATGTTTGTACCCTCTTATGAATGTACCAAAACTACTGGACCATCCACTGAAAAAAGGGTGAATGTTACGGCATGCGAATTTTATCCAAATAAAATTGAATTTTTAAGAAAGAACCTACACACAGCACTAAACATAAACACGTTTATTATCAAACTTTGTGCTGGCCACATCACATACAAAATAGGTATGGCATAAGCTTAAATAAATACATACTTTAAAAAACTGTAAAATATTTTGAATCATAATTTAAAATGCTTTTTAAAACCCGTTTTAAAAACCGTTTAAAACACGGACCATATTTGCATTTCACACAGCTATTTACATCACAGTATAAATATTTACAACATTCGAACAATTTCAGAGAAAATAATAATTCATTCTATAGGTAGTCTGCTGGCAGTAGTTATTTCTCTCTCCCTTATTTTCCAGAGTTCTTTTGCCCCTTAAAATTCTCTACCGTTCTGACACTTAGCATACCTCTCTGGTTACTTAGGGCTTTGCCTTTACCAACACGCAGCCCGCATTTGTCAGAAACTTTGATTTTCAACACATGCTAAGTGAATGTACGTGTGGGAGAGTTTTGATTCTCACGTAACTTGCAAGACGGAGCGAGAAGCTTGGGCAATGGACTGGCCAAGAATTTCTCACTGCCAACGATCAGTGGGGATCCCTGAGGAATTTTAAATTCCCTGATAAATAAATACATATGCTCATTCATACTGACTTTCCTCTCTTCACGAACACTCTAACAAACAGAATAACACAATTAGGGAATAAATATTAAAAGTCTCTACTTTTCAAAAAACCCACCAGACAAATCTTTTACAAGGTGAGTCCCTATCATGGATTTAAAATCTAATGTAATACATGAGAATTATATGTGGACACGTCACCCCTGACAAACGTCTTTGGAGAAATGCTAAAGCACATCCGTATGACTACGTGTTTTTGTCAACAGAGACATTCAAAGAGTTGTACCTTCGTCTGTCTGCATTTCTGCTTTTAGCAAATCAGAACATTTGGCCCCGTGGAAGCTTTTCATCATGGAAAACCACCTACCTCTGGAAAAAGGGCTGACAGTGTATGAGTGCGTGCCATTCAGATTCTACTGTGCTGATACTAATGTTTTGAAAAGCAACGGGAACAAAAGATTTAGAACTTCACCCTGGTTAACATTATAAACAGTACTTGCCCTTTTTTGAAATAAATTTACTACAGATGGAACATTAGAAACTGTGACTGAACAAAGATCTAGGATAAGTCACTTCTACCCTGTTGCAGTCCTAATGTGTACATATTTTAGAGTCTCTATAACACATACGCTGAATTAAGAATTAGGGAAGATTGTTCTGTCGTCAATGCAAATAAAGAGAGTACAATCTCTTACGGCACTTTAAAAAGCAGTGAATCCCACAGGGAGAAAAGTGATTAAGACTGTGCTTTAGTCATCCTCGCACAGAGCATTAAGTAGGATTTCCCCGTGCACTCGCCTGGGGGCATTACAAAATTGTCATTTTTTTTCACGTTGGTGATAGAATATCTTTGGCCAAGCGGTTTCCCCTAAACTCTTGACAATATTTCAGCCCCATGACAGCAACCGTGTAATCAGCAGAGACACCGTGAGGGGCAAAAGAAAGAAGCAAGGCCACAAAATCCTGTGGTTCTCCACTGAGATCTCACAGTGAGCGGGGCGGAGAGATAGAACAGGAATTCTTGAGATCGTGGAGCCTGGGTCCCTTCACATTTGCCTGGAAGAGAATATGCTTTCCCTCCATCAGCCAGTACTTTCCAGACACAGAGAACAGCGAAGAGAAGGCTGACTCGCTGATGGCAGACTGGCCTTGCTCACTGGAGTTTGGATGGGTGAAGTCCTCATGGGTGCCTCGATCCCAGCTTAAAGGCAGCAGGTGTGGGAGGTGAGGAGGGCCAGAGACCAAAGGAGTGCTCCCTGTCCTTGCCATCTTCAGGGTATTGCTCTAGTTCCCTGGAGGAAACTGTGTTCCTGCGAACAGAGAGAGCATGCCATCAGGACGCTTAATATTCTGTATCCATAGCAACAACAAAATTCACCGTCTACCACAGACCACCGTGTTCACTATCACGGGGGAGTCCACCTATGAACCTCAAAGCCCTATTCAGTTAGGGCAGCGAAACTATTCTATATGATACTCTAATGGCGGATATAAGTCATTACACACTTGTCAAAACCTGTAAAATATACAAAGCCAAGAGAGAACACTAATATAAAGGGTGAACTTTAGCTAATAATAACGTATCAATATTGGCCCATCAATTGTAACAAAATGCCACACTAATACAGGATGTTGATAGCAAAGGAAATTGGAGGGTGAGGGAGTATGTTGGGAGTCCAGTTTCTGCTAATTTTTTTTGTAAACCTAAAACTGCCTTTAAAAATAAAGACTATTAATTAACAAAATCTATTCGGGCGGGGGGGGGGGGGGGGGGGTGAGGGGGACCTGACCCTTCACAATTCTCACAAAGCAGAGCACAGATTCTAGAACCAGGCTGCCTAGGTTTGAATTCTGGCTATGTCACTCACTAGCTTTGAGATTTTAGGCAAGTTATTTAACTTGTCTGTCTCTCGTGTTCTTCATCTGTATAACAGGAAATACAGCAACAAGTCTCTATCTCCTAGAATTCCCAACTCAGAACAGTTTCTGGAAGATACTAAGTGCCACATAAAGGTTAGCTGTCATCATTTTTATTAATAACTTTCACAAGTGAAATGACTCAATAAAGCCCAGATCCTTGTTCCTGTCCTTCTACAAAGAAATGAAACAGTTTTCCATCCAACACCGTGAAGGTGGTGATTTTCCCCCCAGAAACTGGCAGATTTGGAGGATATGCTCTCTCAAAATCATATGTGGTTTTCAAGTCTTACCTGATTCCTTTAGACTTAAGGGGACTCAGAAGGCATCTGGTAGGATCCATCTGATTGGAGGCTTTGGCAGCTGCTGTGGAGTACGTAAAAACACTAAGTAAAGCACCGTTTTCCGACATGAACAGGGAAAAATATGTAGAATGTTCAAAGGCATGCTTTGGATAAGAATGCAACTTACCTGGCAGGAACAAATTTCTTTGCTGCAAGAAAAAGAAAACCATTAAGTTGGACTAAAAGACTCTCAGGGCCGTATTAAATGCAGAAACAATATGACTCTATCCTCCAGGGACTGCAAACCCAATGCCTTCAGGGCCCCTGTAATAATCAGAGTGCAAACACAGCTTGGGGACAGCGGGCGTGAAATGCACATTCATCCTAGGGGCCCAGCAGCTTTCTAATGCTGGCCAATAGCTACCCGCTCAGCTTGCCAAGTTCATCTCCCGTTTTTCATGAGAAGTCCCAAATCTAGATTTTACGTGAAGGTTCCTATTTTATAAATGTCAGAACTTAATTTTTAAAAATGTCGGGGCGCCTGGGTGGCGCAGTCGGTTAAGCGTCCGACTTCAGCCAGCTAATGCATCTTCGCTGGTCTCGTGAAGATTTGAGCCCCTGCTGTCGGGCTCTGGTAGTGACAGCTCAGAGCCGGAGCCTGGTTTCAATTCTGTGTCTCCCTCCTCTTGCCCTCCCCTGTTCATGCTCTGTCTCTCTGTGTCTCAAAAATAAATAAACGTTAAAAAAAAAAAAAATTTAAAAATGTCAAATATTCTGTAGAGCAAACAGTGTGAGTGTGGCTCAATGCTTGGCGACATCCCCTAGAGATTTCATGTGAAGTCTGTATTCCAAATAAATGTTTTGGAGCCGTTTTAGCCACTTCCTGGGAGCACCCATCATGGCAGGCTCACTGCACCCACTCCGAGGGGAACCACAGAATTCCATGTGAATGGCACCCCTGAGTTGCTCGATAGAAGCAACTAATTATTTTTTTATTTCTGAAACCGCCCATCCCACTCAGCACTGTAAATCTACCTACTTAGACCACTGCTCAATTATACTGCAGTTTATTAGTGTTTGAAGTCTAGAGTCTTAATTTACTGCCGAGATGTGCAAGAGAGAGAGGACACCGCGTCCTCGAGTGGGTGAAATGTTCCATTCCTTGATTTCTTAGCCTGGGTCACTGACTCACAGGGTTGCAGCTCGTGGCAGCATACATCAGGCTCCATGCTCGGGATTCTCTCTCCCTCTCCCCTCTCTCTCTGCCCCCCCTCCCCCGCTTGTGCTCTCTTTCTCTCAAAATAAATAAATAAACATTAAAGAAAATGTTAGAAACGTGCAAGAGAGAACATGACTCACCAATGAGGAAAAAAAAAATACATTTTTCAAAAACATTTTTGGAGTATGTTCCCAAGCTCCCTTACCTCTCTTCCGCAGGCGTTTCAGAAGCCAGAGGACAAATGATGCTACCGTCATGAGGGAGGTCCCAGCGGCGGTGAGTCCCACAGCCAAGGGAATGCTGGACTCAGTGGGAGCTAGGGAGACAGAGGAGGGAAGAACTTTCACGAGAAGGAACCGAACGTAAAGTCTTTCTGTGCCCTTTTCTTGGCACATGGATAAGCCGTCTACTTCAATGCATGAGGGAGAGACAGGGCACTACAGCCCTCTGAGATCGACCCAAGCCACCTGCGCGGGCCTGTCTGCGGCCACGGCCAGGAGCGCCCTCACCTGCCCGGCTTGAAGAACAGAACCCACTGCGCCTGGGTCCCTACTGCGCACGCGCTCTCTTCTCCCTCCCTTGTTCTCCTTTCCCCCCTACTTTTACCTCTGGATCCGCTTTTCGCCCTCGTCGCAGTTCTACCTATTCCGCCCACGTGTCACCTCCTCGGTTCTCCCTCTATGCCCATAAAATGAAATGGTCACCAGCTTTTTCACCTTGGCAACCCCCCTGGCCTGAACGTAATGAATGGTTCCTCTCTTTCCCCTTCTTCCGTCTAGTCCCCCCAGGCAACCACCACCAATCAATGCTTCACCTTCGCAGGTAGGCGGCGTTCCGGACCAGTGTCCCGTGGCATCGCACGTCAGAGCTGCGGAGCCGTTGAGGGTCCACCCCTCAGGACACACAAACGCACACACAGCGCCAAACGCGGGCTCCCCGTCACAGCTCACGTTCATTTTTCCCAACGCTGCCAGTCCCGAACATCGTACGGCTGCAAACGACAGGCACACGCGCGGCGGTTAATAAAGATCTACTGGAAAATGTCTAACCCTGATTGAAAAGCCATCAGCAGGCGTAACTTAGACGCACTACTTAGTTTTCAGCTGGTAGCAAGTTAGGATCAAGGCCCGTGGGGCAATCGAGGTTCAGATACATCTGAAGTTTTTGACCTAGGCCCCTTAAGGTCTAAATTCAGCCCTACCTTGGCAGGAGGGGACTTCCTGCGTCCACTGGCCCTGAGATGTGCACTCGACTTGAGCTGACCCACGCAATTTGAAGCCTTCTTCACAGCTGAAGGCGCAGGAGGACTTGTAGGTGAACTCTCCAGCGGGGGAATGGGTACATGTCACAGAGCCACGCTGGGGCTGCCGGACGGCATCACACTTCACAGCTGGAACACACGAGCGAGCACATTATTAGAAATTTGTATCGGGCAGCGGCAGGTTTCGCACGTAGTCGCGTCTCCAGCCCTCCCATGGTTTTTGTGTTAAAACAAAGACAAAAACTGTACCTTCACACGTGGGCTCCTCACTGTCCCATTCGCCTGTAGGGCCACACTGGAGCTTTTTGGATCCCTTCAAGACAAACCCCTGTTCGCAGAAGAACTCACAGCTGGACCCCTTTTGGAAACTTCCAGAAGCAGCAGGAAGACAACTCACGTAGCCTCTCTCAGGGCGGGACAAGGCTTTGCACTGAAAAGCTGAGACACCAAAATCATGGTCAGAAAACATTGCGGAGGAACTGGAGGGCCCTTGGCATTTGATGAATGAACCCGGTTCATCATAGACGAAGCAACACTCAGAGGTCTCAAGGCTCTTCATGACTCCCTGGACAACTGGGAAGATGCCTGTGTTTTCTCCGAACGCCAGTCCCTTCACGGACAATGGCATTCAGTAAAGGGAGGCCTTTCACGGAACCAGTGGTTCCTGAGCACTGCTCTGACACTCGAAGGAGTTACCGTCAGGACGAAAAGGTTATGTAGTCAGAAAGCAACTGATGGGTCCTGGATGCTTACAGATGATGCCAAAATGCAAAGAAGGTAAGAAGGTAGCGCATGAAATGTGTCTGCTTTGCAGCTTGATTCGGGTCTTGTGGCTTCGTGCCACTGGAAATCATTCTGTGCTGTATCTGGCTACAAGAATACCAGTACCCGACAGCGAAAACTGCTTGCTTTCCACATTGTTGCTCTTGCTTTACAGTGAATTAAGTTTTAGTGCTTATCCGGGTACTAAGTGTGCCTCTACGTATGACGCCATCCTCGACACATTCTCATCCCTGCCAGTTATGGGCAATTTCAAGTACAGGTTGAGAAAAAGAATGTTTATGGTCAATCTTGATGTGGAGCGACTCTACCTTTACACGTTGGCTTCTCGTCGTCCCATTTCCCGGATGAGGTACACTGCAGGCGCTGGGATCCCATTAGTTCAAATCCTGCTTCACACTCAAAGGCACAAGTCGTGTTCCATGGGAAGTTTCCAGAGCTTTGGGAACAGTCCATGACTCCGTTGGCAGGATTTGTCAGAGCATCGCACTCGACCACTGGGGATTTGAAAGAGCACCATGAAATTTACAGATATGTTCGCTGCCTATTGAATTGGAGTTTATAACAGGGCGAGGAAGCAGCCTTCAAACGGCAGATCCCAAAGTCCTAAGATAAGTCTTGGGGACATGCGCGCACACAGTAAAACTTTTATGCTTTTTTATTAATACTTTCATCTTCTCTGATTGATTTATACTCTGACTATGCTGAGTGGTTTCTGGTCTACTTTACGATGTCCCTGATCTATGTTATGTAAGGTGAAAACGAAGAAAAAAACCCAGATTCTAGATCATGATTTATGTCCTGTTATGTCCTGACATACACAGGACATTCATTTATGTCAGCCCAGCGGGACCTGGAAGCCAAAAGCTTCCGTCTCTGGCCTAGAAAGATAAGACTGAGAGAGAGGGGCGCCTGGGTGGCTTAGTCAAGCCTCCGGCTCTTGATTTCAGCTCAGGTCATGATCCGGGGGCCTGAGATTGAGCCCTCCATTGGACTCTGTGCTGGGCACGGAGACTTCTTGAGATCCTCTCCCTCCCTCTCTCTCTGTCTCTCTTAAAAGATTAAAAAGACTGAAGAGAAAAATAGATATGGGGGCTGCTTGACTACCATGGTCTTAAATCCACCTCCACTGCATGAGAGAGATTAAGCAGGAGAAGATAAGTCATTACGATTTCTCAAGTGGGTTCTGCTGTTATGGGCACTCACTTACAAGTCACCAGAGCCAGAGAAGCATCCACTGCAAACATGGGATATAAACCTCTCTCAAACCAAGCAGGCACCCTATTGGCCATACATATTGGCTAAGGGAAGTCCTACTAAAAACAACCGAAAGAACTTTCCCTGGAGTCTTGGAAACGTTGTGACGTTGGATCCAAAACAAAACGAAACAAAACAAGGCAATGAAGGGTGAGTTTGAGAATGTTCTGGGCATTCGGAGAGAGATTTACCATTGCAGGCAGGAGCGGGGGCGCTCCATTCTCCCGTGGACGTGCACCGCGTGGCCTCTGTGCTGCTTGGGAGGTAGCCCTTTTCGCAGCTGACAGAGCAAAAAGAATTGTAGCTGAAGGTCCCCAGAGGGTGGGTGCAAACCAGGCTTCCATGCTCGGGGGCTTCCCGCGCTTGACAGGTCACCACTGAAAGGAGAAACCACATCAGTGCTGCTCTCTGTCATCTTGCATGAAGTGAGAAAACCCTGGAAGGTGTAACTACTGTTTACGCTTCCTATGTGCCAGGCACTATGCATTCATTCCGATCAGCCTCACCATTGAAGCTGATACCATTATTAGCCTCCTTTTGCGATGACACAGCTGGGACTCGGGGGTTTTTAACTACCTGGTCCAGGTGCCCTAAGTCAGAGTGGTAAATCTGGGCTTTGAAGCTGGTTGGGGGTGGGGTCTGACTCTGACTTCACGACCTTGGCTCTTGACCGCCACCGGGCACCACGTGGCCCAGGGAAGGGAAGACAGGCAGACCCGACGCCAGAGCCAGCTGGGACGCGGGATGGCGCTACCAACTCAAGTGAAGGCAAAGGCGACACGACGCTTACCTTGCTCGCACCTGAGTCCCTTGAAGCCGGGGTAGCACTCGCACGTGTAGTTGTTGACGGTCTCCACACACTCGCCGTGGCCACTGCAGGATGTGGGGGTACAGGCAGCTGCAGGAAACACAATCCATGGGGAGGAAGATCATTACTGTGCTTAGAATGTGTTCCTTCGCATCATGAGTGTGCCACAGAGATCATTGGCGACGTCGCCAGGGACGTGGACTGCCAGAGATCTTAATTGAAGTGCTTCACCCAATGCCAAAGCCGAGCTTTAAGCTCAACGAGGTTGGACCTTGATTGCTAATGTCAAAGAAGTAATCTCCCAAACGATGTTTTAAAGCCCTGTAGTTTAGAACGTAAAATTACCATAGCGGAGACCAATTCTTGCACACTGTCCGCACCTTGTCAAGACGCCCCCCACCCTGAAACTGCCTCCCAGGGCTGCCCCGAGCCCCGTACCTGTGTAGCACAAGGCAAGCTTCTTTTTGCTACATCTCTCATCATTCCACTTGCCCGCGTCCTTGTCTCTCTTGATGTAGATCTCCACACAGTCCTCATTGCTTTGCTTATTGTTCGGTTCACCAGGAGCCCAGTTCTTGGCTTCTTCGGTCAGAGGCTTCTGGGTCCCTATCCAGGTCCACGTATTGTTGACCTTTCTGATTCCAATCCAGTAGTAAGTTGGCGAGTAGCTCAAGATGGAGTTCAGGTACTGAATCTCTTCCTGGTTTTGAATCGCGACCAGATGCGTGTACCGTTGCTGGCAATACGCACTAGCTTCGTCGAAAGTCATGATTTCTGTGGAGGCGTTGTAAGACCAGGCTCTGCTCCCTTTAAGCAGGAGAAGCACTAAAGAGGAAAGCGTGAAAGGCATGGAATGTTTAGTCCTGCTGTGGTTTGACTCTTTTAACTGGGCTTTGCACTCTTATTTTCATCATGCGGTAGCCTTGGGGATGACTCAAGTTTTTTTCCTCTTTTCCAAAGTAAGAAAGGGGAGAGATGGAGAAACTGCCATTCACTGTGCATATCTTTGGGGACTGAGCCCCCCGCTTGATGCTCTCCCTGCACTTGCCCACCACCATCTACCAGTATATCCACTACAGTAGAATAATAATCAGAATAACTGAGCTTTCTTGAGTACTGAATATGCGCCACTAAGCACTGTCCGAGGTCCTCTCCATGCTACTGGAGCCTCACAATTCCTCTGGGAAGCAGGCCATTTATGATCAGCACTTGACACATTGGGAGGCACTAAGGGGTAAAGTAAATTGCCCTTAGCCCGGGGCAGAACACCCTGGGCGGAGAGACCGGGATGCTGCAAAACACCCTACAATGCACAGCCCCCCCCTCCCCACCATGGGGAGAAATTGTCCTGTCCAAACTGCCAATAATGTCAAGGATGAGAAACCTTGGTCTAACGAATGACATTGACTTACCAAGAGCGAGAGCAGGGAGAAGTCGTGAAGCAGTCATGACTTCCAGGGTTCTTGTCATCAAAAGATGAGTCTTGAAATGCCTTGCTGGGCGAAAAAGTACAACATTCATTACAGAAAGAAATCTTAGGTAGCCAGTCACTGAGCTCATTCTACAATGATGTTTTCAGCAGCAGCAGATTTTAGGTAAAAGATAACAGCGCTCCCATCTTTGTTTCAAAGAAGTCGATGGGAATGAATGCCTACGCAAGTTAAGATTTTCATCGTTTAGGTGCAAGAGAAAAGCCAGATTTTAACGAAGTCTGAATACAACAAGAACCTGCCCAGGCCGTTTATCCAAAGGCTCTCTGCCTATCTGTTCATATGGATAATCTTGTTTCATGGCCTTACGCTGCACTTACTGTTTTGTGAGGCGGTGGCGTCCGCGTCTGACTCCTCGTGTCGCTGGCTGCTTCTGTCTTGTGCCACTTGGCAGTTCTGGGTGAAGTCAGCCAAGAACAGCAGAGCAGTGCTCCTGCGGCAGGCCCTTTATAGGGGCGCTGGCTTCCTGTGAGTAATAGGAGGATGTATCCAAACCCAGGAGACAGGAATTCCCCAGTAGCATCCAAAAAGTTTCCCGGGAATGTCCATAACGCCAAAAAATTACAGTGATGTCAGAAACCCTGGGCCTCCAAGCTAATTCGCCTCTGTTCATACCATTTTTAAAACATTTTTTTTAACGTGTATTTATTTTTGAGAGAGGGAGAGGAAGCATGAGCGGGGGAGGGCCAGAGAGAGAGGGAGACACAGAATCCGAAGCAGGCTCCGGGCTCTGAGCTGTCAGCACAAAGCCCGACGCGGGGCTCGAACCCGTGAACCGTGAGATCATGACCTGAGCCAACTCGGAGGCATAACCGACTGAGCCACCCAGACGCCCCTCATGCTTTTTTATTTTATGTGAATCCTATTAATATGGCACAAATGGGGAGGAATTAATTCTAATAACATAAACTGATGTCTTTAAAAAGTTTAAAAACTTTGCTATCAGCAGCATCTCTCGTGTAATTGTGGTAGTAACCAGGATTTCACAAACGCAGGCAAACTCAGACTTAGTTTTATGATCTGTGGACCACTATTCTTAATTTTCTCACGTGTGGCTGTCAGTAGTGGGCCACCAATGTTTTTTCTCTCTCTCTCTCTCACCTACCAATTCAACTCATTTTAAGGTACCTGTCTCACGGAGGTACCTGTCACAAGGTATCTGTTAACCTAATTCTGTGCATAGTTATAGCTAAATTACTAGAAATAATATCTCCTAATAAATTAGCTAGTATAGCTAAATTACTAGAAATAAATGTTTGACATATTTTGTTTCTTAAAAATAAGATGAATGGGGGCGCCTGGGTGGCGCAGTCGGTTAAGCATCCGACTTCAGCCAGGTCATGATCTCGCGGTCTGGGAGTTCGAGCCCCGCATCAGGCTCTGGGCTGATGGCTCAGAGCCTGGAGCCTGCTTCCGATTCTGTGTCTCCCTCTCTCTCTGCCTCTCCCCCGTTCATGCTCTGTCTCTCTCTGTCCCAAAAATAAATAAACGTTGGAAAAAAAAATTAAAAAAAAAAATAAGATGAATGGGAAACAGATTTCGATGTCCATGTCTGGAAAACATTTATTCATGATTTCTTCAGTGAAAAAAAAAAAAGAAGATGAAAGCTATATGTACTCGTATTTAATTGACTCAAATTTTGTTTAAAACTTTTAAGCTATGAATGTGCCAAAAATAACAAAACTGTACCAAAATGTTAACAGTGACTATCTCTGGATGGCAAGATTGGGAGGAAGTTTGATATTCTTCATGACTATTTTCAACAATTTTTGCAATGGCCCTCTATTACTTTTACAGTAAGTATAGCACCGTTTAAAGAATCCTGTGTCCAAATGCAAATGAAGGAGACATAAATGATATCATTTATTCTGCTTTCCATACTGACATTTCTCTGGGGGTGACGGAATGCCCCCAGCTCCGCATCTTGTCTAATTTAAATGCTGGAGACGGTAAGTGGGGATCACTTGAATTTCCATAGGAAAACTTGTTGACCTCTACACCCACTTTCCAGAAGATCCCAATTTCAAAGCAAATTCTCTCTGTGGCTTAATTTACATCGAGAGAACTTCCGGAGAGAGAGCCCCAATAGCAGAAGGGGGGATAAGAGACATAAAAAGGGGAATAAATTTGGCAGGAAAGGTAATTGATCCCCAGAGGCCTGATATTCCAAACCTACTCACCCCTATGGTTATCTTGCATCCACCCAGAATATGCCCCTGAGGTTGGGCGAGCAAACCGGGCACCTGAGTACTGGGGGCTAAGAGGCTCTCCTCAGGCTCAGAGGGTTGCTGCAGAGGCCGTGAGCAGACCCAGCCTCCCTCTCATGGAGAGACCTCAGCACAGTGAGGGGCAGGAGGGGGGTGACGGCGACTGTCAGGATCTCATGAGGGCGCCCACTTGCTGGAGATGGAAGACGAGTTGAAGGAATTGGGGGAGAGTTGAGTAGCCAGGGTTGTTGGGTATTATCCCACCCCACACACACACACAAATAAACCTAATTTCTCTGAGCAACAGGCTTATTAGAGGTGCCTCTAGGCCCCATCGAGTCTCCCAGGCTCTGAAGATGCTGTTGCTGTCCAGAGACTTCTCGGTTCCAACTCTGGCTCCTTTACAGCCTCCACACTGGGGAGGCTGAGAGAAGGGGAAAGAAGGCAGTGCAAACACGGGCACACCCCAGGCTGCACCACCACAGCTCTGTCGTCTGTGAGGTGCCACACTTGGCTTCTTCATCCCTTTTCCTGGAAGTTGCTTGTCCTCTGCTCTCCAGCCTTTAATGGGCATCAAGGACTTTACCCACTTTTCCTTCTGTGCCCAGACTCGTTCTCACTTTTATGGAAAAGAGGCATCCCTGAGGGAGCGAGAGAGAGAGCCAGAAAAATGATATGGGGGTTCCTGAGACCAATGTTCCAATTTCATCCAGAGCCATCCTGTACACTATCAATAGCTGGGGACAGATAAAAACTACGGGCAGGAGACTATTGGGCTTAATAGAAGGCAGCACCGGCCAGAACCACATGGGACAAGACCAACTTTCAAGGCGTGGCTTTAGCTTTGGGTCCTCACTGCTGAAGTGAACCGCCAGGCAAGGGCAGCGGCCTCCCTGACACTTTGGGTTGGTTCCCTCCCTGCTGAGCCCTATTGCTGAACACTGATTTTTTCAAAAACCTTGCCGACTTCTCTTCCCACGTTCTACTCTGCCAACACCTGGTGTGCTTCCATACAGTCTAAGTCAGGGAGGAGAGATCCCAATATAGATACAGTTCTGTTTACAGAATTCAAATGTGATGTTTCTTGCACACCCAAAATTGCTAAACGAAATTAAGAAGATCATGGCACAAAATGGCATTTCTTGTTTGATCCAAACATAAGCCTATTTGATGGAAAGTTGGTCAGGCTCCCTCCAAATTGGTTCCCCGGGAGGGCACGTTCACTCAATTGCAGTTTATAGCTCTCTTAGAACAGCTGGGTCAGGCAGGAGCCCTGGGCTCTCTCTCCGCCTGAGCTCCCGCACCTGGGAGGAGAGTGGGGCTCGGAGACTTCTTTCATAGGAAGGAGGCTCACCGCGTAGTTTGTCTAAAATGCACGCCTTCAGGTCCAACATTCAGAGACACCGACTCATTGGGTCTGGATGGGACCCAGGAACCTGCACTTTCAATGAACATCTCAGGTGATTTTGATGCAGACGCCCAAACCCCACCCCACTTAGAGATATAATGGCCCAGGGCCACCTAATTCAGGAGAGAATATCAAGAAAGTCTTATGGCTGGTGCTCAGTTGTTAGGTACCAGAATCTTGACCGGAGTGTCACTGTAGTTCAGACACCTTCTCTGCTGGAAGGCTAGAGGCCCCGTTTGTAACAGTGCTGGGCAAAAACGAGGAATATCTGGGATGAGTGAATGCTTGGAATTCTTATACGTGGAAAATCGGTGGGCTTTCACCAAGGAAAGAGAACGCTGCTAAAGAAATAACGTGAGTAATATAGATCTTCACTTATTCTCCTCCTCTTGTTCCAAAGGACCCTGTAATTCTACTGATTCCCCCCCTTGGAACTTCCTACACGATTCTGAGACTTACAATTTTAATGTGTTTCCTTGCTTCCTATTTGGCAACGCTTTATCTTGAGGTTTCCGCTTACTGTTTTGGGATCTAAGAACGAACTAATGGGAATATCTTCAAAATGAGCCAACCCTGGTGAATTTCCAAAGCGGAAAGGAACAAGTGTAGGCAGCCTGGTGAATTGACAGAGCTTTTCCTGAGTGTAGCCAGACTGTTTGCCGACGCTGGTTAAGAGACCGAGGAAAATGCCCCTGGAGTTTAGAAAAGTCCCCTTGCTTGTTTTCCTTGGCCACCATGCTGCTTGTTTTGTGACACAGAGGTTTCCTAAAGGACTATTCTTAGCTTGGCACTCGGTGTTTCACATCAGAAAAGTTGGGGTCGGGTCACTTTTTGACTGGCAAGAGATTGCTGTTCGATGCTAGTTAGCTCTGTGACTTGAAGCAAGCTCTTTGTCTCTTTAAGCCTCAGGTTTCCCATCTGAGAACCAAAGGTGTTTGGCGACCATCCCTGCTGGCTATAGTATCACGTAATGTTATAATTTCAGTTTAATTAAATGTAAACCTCAGATTTAAGTCTTTCTATATTTATTTAACTTAAATTTAAAATCTGAATCCAAACTTAAATTGACATCCGAATGCTCATTATTCTTAGCTAATAATTAATAACGATGCCACATATAAAGTGCCTACTGTGTACCAGGTGCTTTACTCCACACAGAGTTCACAAGATAAAAGGCAGGCATTATCAAGTTCATTTTACAGAGGATGAAACACAGACCCAGAGAGGTTAGACAACATGCCTGTGTTTTTTCTCAGTTACTAAATGGTCAGCAGGGATTCAAATCCATGTCTGTGTTACTCTAAAGACCAAGTCTTTTGTGTTCATTCCTTGCCTGCTCAGACTGCAACCCCAGAGGGAAATCTA